CAGTGTACACAAGGATCTTAAGAAAATAGGCTTTTTGCGCCTTGAAATGTTCTTCCACATCGGGTTCCAAACAAGAATGAATATTTTTGCACAAAATTTACTTTAGTTTGGAGGTGAATTACATGAAACATAATTTAGGATGTTTAGGAAGTTTAATATCTCAGTACAGTTCTTGCTAGTGCAGATGAATTTATTTGCTATTCAGTACTACCATTTCTGGACGAGTTACAGAACAGTTCTATTATGGGTCTTCAGTTTAAACTGGTAAAGGATTAAAAACTGAATACTTGGTACTTGCTTTCTAAAGCCCAGATTTGGGATAAATCGGAATTTAATCATTCGATTTGCTTCATCAAAGTGCATAGAGAGCGAGAGGACACCGACTGAGAAGAAAAGAATACTGGCCACATCGGAAACCGAATGAAAGCACTTATTCATGACAAAACGGAAACTAAGTCAAACTTTAGGTAGAATTTAGAGAGCGGTAATCGAGTGTAAAGCAATAAACGAAAACAACTGCAAGAATCGTGATTAACACAACTGTCTAATGTCAACAACATACAGAATGCATCGGAAAAAAATTATCGCGACTGCTTGCAAAACCATTACTTCCCACAGCGAAAGTTTTAGGTTTCATCTAGAAGCTCGTAAAGTCATTTTCACGTTTTAAACTAGCCCTATGCCTTAACCGGGCGGAAAATTTCTCAATAGGATTACGACAAAGTCTAGTTGGCACATGAACGAAAAGGAGTGGGGCACTTTTTTGAACAAACCCATAAAATTCAGACGAATCTTATAGTAATCAAAAGGAAGGAAAATGCGCTATGACCATCGTCTTCTGTCCTATCCATGGTACATTTATTAGTGTAAAACTACTGGTCTGATTTATACTTTTCAGCCAGTCTGAAGTAGATTCTACTGGAAAGAATTTTCAACGCTCGAGCCTACAGTGCCTTCAAAATGACCGAGACACTCAAGCCCTTTCACATTGGTATTTTAAGTAAACTTCTGCAGTTTTGATGAGTTGATGATGAATTCCTCGGCAATTTAAATGCGCTGGATCTATCTCCAGGAGATAACAAGCAATGAGACACCGTTGTGCAGCAGTAAAAATTACTCATAATAAGCGCAGCTAATGATGAATAGTGCTTGATCTGAGCGTCTAGCCAGCTGTCAACACTATTAAGAACAATTTTGCGGACTATCCTGATGAAGAACAAAGCAATTTGTTAATTTCAATCTGCCCATGCTAGCCTGTCAGAATAAGTTTAACGAACAACTCTTGGTTCAAATACCATGATAAACAGCATAAACACATTTTTGTAAAGAAAGACAGTTAAACAGAGCAATGTAAGGCACTGGTAACCCACCATAGCGTGGTATTCAAAAAGACGTTTCGAGAAAAACATTTACTTAAGAAATAAAATAGGTCAAGCAAATAACTCGAGCAAATATTATGAATAACATGCACTGATTGATGATGATTTTGATACGTTCAGGTACAAGTAAAATTCACAGCCTCGAATGCAGTTCTTGCAAAGTAAAGAACCAGATAAGGAACCGCCGCGAAGATTTCGCCCGCAGCATGTTCAACTGTTCGATATTGACTCATTGAAGTTTCTCGTGCAAAAGGCCTAAGAAAAAAACCGAATTAAGCGACAGATGATGATACCGCTTTATGTCGAAACTCGTGTGTTACCTTGATTTTCGATGCGGCAGTAATCGGCGAACTCCCTAGCACCTCCTCTGCTAACTGTACATACGTTTCATCGCTGACCTTGAACGGAACGAACTGCTGTCTAGCTAAAAGCCATACGCAAATTATTGGTCGCTGTAGTTCATGCAAAACTAGCGCTGCTCGTATCTTCATTTAACGACCAGAAATTATCACGAGACGATGTGAAATGTTAGCACTAGCTATTCGCTTTATGAGCCCGTACTTTGGTTTGTTACAGACAACCATTTTGTCGGTCTTAACAGCTATTGCCAACGCACTGATAAAATACTGACTGATATATGTCTTTTCTGTCCGTCGTTTCACTAATCCGCTGTCTGGCCATGACAGTGAATGAGAGAAGTCGATGGTCTTCATGAATATAGCAGGATATACCTGCGGCATAACACAAAACAGTGAACCAATTCAAACCTACAGTGAAAATCATTATTGCTCTAAGCTATAGGTTTCATCCTCCCACCCCACCTGTGTAGCAAACTTAAATGGCGCATGGACGCATGTCATAATGGGAGGAAACTTTACGACAATTTTGTTTTTCGTGTTGGTGGAGCTATTTTTTTGTCCAGTTGAACAAATAAACAGCCGTTCACGTTGTTAAGAGGCTTCATTAGACAGACTTGAAGCATGCACAGTGGTTCCAGAGGTATTTAACAAAATCAATGACGCTAAAAAACTTCACCTTGGAAAACGATCCGTGCATTGGTCGCAGCAACAGCAGCGGCACGCGAGAAAAAAAAACGATGCGGGAAAACGAAGTGCTCGTTACAAAAAAATATTATAAATAGAAGCCACGCAAAGGGAACCCATATGATAAAGACGCAACATTTCCTGCGCCCAAACAGAAAGTAAAGGGCATTTCTGCATCCCTGTTTCTGTCATATTACTGTAAGCGCTAACAACTCGGACTTCTGCTTCAAAATCATTAAATGAGAACTGTGCATAGTTCATTCATTTAAATGGACTTTATGAGTAAAATTTATTTGAACACAACGCAATGCATTTTTTACGTGAGAGCGTATACTGAAACATTTTGCAATATTTTAAAGTACAGAAAAACAAAGTAATTTTCGGCATGGTTTATAAAATGAAGTTTAAAGTAAAACATTTCCGTTATTAGAACATATTTTTCATGTCATATGTTTATATCAATGGGTTAATCGGTCGGCTGTTGGTCGTAATCTTTGAAAATGCACAAGTACCAAATTAACAGCGAGGAATTACTGTATTATATTAAGGGATGGTTGAAGGATGACTTCGAGGCTTTTCGACTGACGAAATTGACTGGCGAGAAAACAACTGCAGAGCACAGAAATCTCAGACAATGCAGGACAGAGTTCACGTTTTATCAGTCGACTATCACGGCGTTGAAGAAACTGAATCTCTGACAGACGCATACCATCTGTAAGAACTTTTGCAATGAGTTATTTGCGGCAAAGACATGCGTCCTCTCATCATTATTCCCACAAAAAAGTGCCCTTGCGGTCCTCAAAAGGTAAGTTCAGCATGCCCGCAGCAAATGAAAGAAGGAAGAGTGCCAGGTAGAGACGACCTGACAAATGAATGCTCAGAGCATGTGGTCAAACGCTGTGGCGGGCTCTAGCGAAGAGGTTCAGTTGCTATCTGGAAACGGAAAATATGCCATCATACTGGAAGGTATAGTATGGAAGGTATATATATAGTCAAAAAGAATCGTGTTGCTCAAGAAGGACGAGAAAGAAGATCTGAAGAACCATCGTCCAACGCGCCTGCTCTTACAAGTTTACAAGCTAAGATCGTCATCAAATAAGATCCAGAGGTTCATAATCAACAGACTATCAACAAGTTTTTATGAACAGTAGCCAAGAGAACAGGCATAACTCTGAAAGAGCTGCAATACAACGGATAGCATCATTATCGTAAGAGCATTCGATGAACGCACGAGAGAATTCCAGCTCCCTCTGTGCGTAGCGTTCGTCGACTACGAAAAAGTGTTCGACACTGTCGCGTACAGCTTACTAAAGGAAACGAACTCTGGTTGCCTCAAAAACATCACACTGTTCGACATCCCCTCGGAATTGCTGTGGAGAAGGGAAAAAATAGAGACACCATCTCCCCAAACTGTTCACTGCCCATTTAAAAATGGCATTCCGGAGGATGAATTTGAGGAGTAGGATTAACATTAACAGTGATGGCACCCAAGGCTCGCTGATGACGAGGTGCTGTTTGCAGAAAACGTCATCAATTACAAAACATGCTGAAAGAGCCAAATCGAGACAATGCAGAAGTCAGGCTGCAAATCAGTCGGAAAAAAATGAAGATACTGTGATATGATGCTGCACCGATGCACTTACCTGGGCCATGAGATCAACATGCAGTATGATCAGGCTGCGGAGATCCGATAAAAAAAGGGGGCAGATGGCTCGCGCTCAATTCTTTCAAGGACGTGACATCCGCAACATCAGAAACCCATGCCAACCTCTTCAGTTCAACCGTCCTGTAGACACTATTGCATGGCTGAAATGTTGTCATTCAATGAAGCCGATGATCACCACCTGTGTAATCGCGAGAGCCATGGGAAGAAGAATGTTAGGAATTTCACGATGCGACTATATCTTCAACTCAGTGATCAGACGGGAGTGCAAGACGTTGTCGTTGAAAGCAGAAGGAAGAAGCCATAATAGGCCGGAGATGTAATTCGGCTCACCGACCGGTGAGGTCTCGATGATCGCTGATTGGTGTACTTTCAAGCTGATTATGCCATTTAGTTGCCTACCACGACAGTGGAAAGATTGTATCAAGAGCCGGGAATGCCGCGCTTGGAGGAAGAAGACCCCAAAGCGCGAGAAAAATCAGGTGTTACAGCCGGCGCGATTCGTCACCGATTAAAGACAGGTAAAATGATCCAAGTGATATTACCGTATGACTGGCGGGATGATGTTACGGAATTAGTAAGTTTGAACTAGAAAGATGCTGAGAAAATCGATCTATTTTAGACTCCATCTAAATCTATAAAGAGAAAAACGCGTACAACGATGGCGGGAATATGGCTGAAAAGATTACTTAAAAACAGAAATAAAGTGATGACTACAATCTGATAAGCTACACCGCATCATCGTCCGCGTTGGGAACTTACGTGCGCAGCTGGTGACAAATGGATGCCTCATGAGCTCGTTGATGGTCGGACGAAGGCGTTGGTTTCGTTGCAAGCACTTTTCCATGACATCAGTGAGGTTCTTGTCGCCCACATCGGGAAATTCTATGGCCACTTCCGGATTGGTGATCGCCAACAGTTTACCGGCGACACTGGGAATATCTTGGAAGGGTGTTTTGCCGTAAACCATTTTGTATAGGATACAACCTAACGACCACACGTCCGTTTTGAACGAAACCTAAGCAGTACGTCATGTGAAACGCCTAATCGTAACGGATAATTAGTACCAAACGGGACAAATGAAACAAATGCAAAAGCTGGTCATCGCGCAACGCAAGAGTCATAAAAATACATTTATGAAGAATAAGGCACAAACATTATGCGTTTGAAATCAAACATAATGTGAAAACTGTCGACATTTCGCAGCAGTTGCCGCTAGCTTCAATCTTGGACATAATTATCAGTGAAAGATTAGAAATGAAACTGCTCGAACTGAAAAAGTGGAAAATTTAACCTTTTCTTTATCCTCCTATTGCGTAACTGCGTCATTGTTTGAGGTTAATATAGCTGAGTGGTCAACGAGTCGGGTTCGATACCGCAAGATCAAGAGTTAGTATCCCGGGAAAGTCACTCATTATCTATCATCCTGCTGAGGTATATGAGTATTATCCTTTGGGAAGTAAGCGGCAGAACATATTCTGCAGCGATAACTTAACAGTAGATATTCCAGATGATGGCACAATAGTGAAGATCAGAAAAATCTGAAAAAACTACCATGGAAATGTAAGGAAGACATATTCCAACAATTACTATCTCTGCTAATTTTACTCCTCCAGGGAAAGACTATAAGGAAAAAAGGAAAATAAAAGCAAAACGAAGGAAATGATGCGTAGAACAAAGGAAAAAATATTCTTGGGTTGATTAAAAGATGGTTAAATACATTCTTTGTAAGCTTCGAGACTATTACATAAACATTAATGATTTGAACAATTTTCCACTCTGCGGGATTTTCTTAATGACGAAAATATAACAGTCTTATTAATTCAGTCCTATATTCAGTGGGACTGAATATAGGACTGAATTAATAAGTCCCTATATTTAGTGGAGTCGCGGCTGGCATAAATGTCTCCCAGAAATCCAGGAGCACTGACACGCTGCCATGGCGATGTGTAATCTCGCATGATTAAATAATTCTTAACAATCTAGTTCTCAGGCACCTAATATCTGATCTTTAGATGACTCACAAAAGTTGCTGCCTATAATTCTAGTCCCAATACCGATCACACAACTGCTGTGTGGACGGCTTCTTTAAACTTTCGCGAAATGCCCATTGCACACGGCACGTCACTGATTTTTCTTCACCTAAACAATATTTTGTTTACGCTTATATTGTTTCACACCATGCTCGACTTCATCGTCTTTCTATACCCTCAACTTATGAAGAACAACTATACTTGTCATTTCCAGTCTAAATTTATTCGACAGAAGGTCAGGACACAAACTAGTTTAGCTGTTTCTCGAGTAATCTTATCCGATTATCTATTCTATCTATTCTAGGCAGTGAAACAGACTAACCTCGATGGAGTCAGCATACTCAACTCATTTGCGGCTAAACCTCATATCATCATCTGTGTTCATAACAGCGCAGATGCTTCTCAAAAATGGAAGAACCGCTAACCGTCAGTACCAAAAGTTTAAAATTTGTTGTTTAACTTGAAAGCAACTACCCCGTTGCGAATTGTTTACATTTAAGCATTTATGTTAACTGATACGATTCGTAAGCACAGAGCCATTTCAGTCGGTAAAAACAACAACTTACAAAATGAAAAGAAATAACTGGTAAAAAATAAATGAAATCTAATGGCTTACTTTAAGCTTAAATTCAGCGGGATTTTCGCTACTGATCGCTTCAGGACTAATATAATTCAGCGTCCCCATCTGATTCTGCTTGGTGACCCATGTTCTATCGTCCGGAATCTGATCTGATATGCCGAAGTCGATTAGCTTCAAGTTACCGCCGACCAGCAGAAAATTCGACGGTTTCAAATCAGCGTGAACAATTCCTACAGCGGCAGAAAATGGGCGTTTGTAAAAAGGTAAGTAAAGCAGCATCATATCAAAACGGGCACTCTCAGTCACACCGCGAAGCCGTTCTTACTGTCCATGCTGCACAATTATTCGCATGGCTTACGCCTCGACATCTTCGAAATTTTAGATCCATTCAGTGGCAACCGTTGACATTAATAAAAATGTTCTGTTTCAACTACAACGATTCTATTCGTGGATTTACACTTCGAAAAACAACGGCAGTGTCTATTACACACGCTCCAATCCAATCCACACACGCCACAACCACGAACGCTGTGTCCAATCAAAGTATGAAAAATGTTGATGATGAACAATATCGCTGCTGCCCGAAATGTTAGTTCCTGTGTCTGTCAGTTTTCAATTTTTCATTTTATTTGTGCAAACAGCCGCTGAATTGGAACTCATCTGATTAATGCATCTTTCAAGAAAAAAATATGGCAAAATAGTTGGTATCAAAGTTAGTTTGTATTCAATATCAAAGTCATCAGCGAATGAAAACGGTCTGCGATTCAGAAGTATGTTTAGCTATTCGAAAGGCGGCAGAACAGCCGCTTCGACACTCTCGCCGTCGTTATCGCAGGAAGAGTCCTAGTAAGCTTAAATTCACATTCAAGGTGTCCCGCGGAAAAAGCTACAACAGCCATTTGCGATTTGCTTCTTAAGAAAGTAGCTGATAGAGCAGCCGATGCAGCATATTGCCGAACAGCTTGAAAAATAGAACCCAGTTCTACTGTCTGGGCCTGATGTCTATTCAGTACATTCTTACTGGAAACTGACAAAAAGTTGCAACTTATGGGGTGTCATCTTTTGTAATGTCATCGAAAATACTTTAATCTAGATCCAAAGTACAGCAGGTGCCAAGAAACCGTGTAACCCTGGTGTCCTTAAATGACCCCATAAACGTCTAGGGACAGACAATACTATAAAACCGTGAAATTTGACTAGGTAGAAGTATACGCGTTACTGACACATTCAGAGTGGATCAACATATTCTTTGTCTAATAACAGCACATCGAATACCAACTTTTGAAACGCTTCAACAGGCAACAAAATGACAAAATATGCATCTGTACCCTACCACTGCTCAAATGCCATTGATTCGTGGCTTGCTTAAATGGTTTCCTAAGCACTGATGGAAAGGAGACAGTGCAACAGTAGTCTGGTAGAATTATGCATACTAACAATATTTACGGGCAAACGTTTCTGTGTTGATACTACGAGCAGGTTTTTTGTTCGATCACAATAATGACGCATTTTTAAGATATAATGTCCTCAGATGCATACTGTGGAATCGCGATCTGCTTAAAGGTTATGAGGTTTCTCGAATCAAGAAGTGGCGTATAATGTAATGTAGACAAGTAGAACTACGCCTATACGTTGCAGCCGTTCAAACTGGCAAAAGCGAAAACAAATTTTTTCTTGGTAAACCGAACTACCTGTTAATAACGTAACGTAAAAGAACAGGTAAAAACATTTCCATTAACGTTTAGAACAGTTCATTCTCTAACTCAGCAGGTTACGTTAGCTTCGCATCGACGCCTCGCAGATGCGCCCATAATCACTAGAGTCGTAGCCGCTTCTCTGTGCTACTCGAAATAAGGGAGCGGAAAACTAACAGTGTAAATCGAAACAATGATAATGATTTGTTGATCCTCGCAAACAGCAACGAAGACCAAATTTTGTTAGTAACCAAACTTTTCATTGGAATATTATTTACACGATGTCGGTCACTGTCTTCTTTTGGAGCAGCCATGGAGTCTATGATGAGACTATATACGCCCATCATGGCATACCTTGTTCATGAATGACCTTTACTGCTTTCAGCATCTCCATCCAGTAATAAGCGATCATAGCCAAAGAAGGCCTTTCCGAACGAGACTGAATGAAAGAACCGAGATCGGTGTCACCTTTTTCTAATACCATAAGTAAATATTGGCCATCTGCTGTGTATTCACTAAAATAGCAATATCAATATTAACGCGCCGTAACGGACGCGGTCAGTCTGACTCACTAATCAAGCATGTTGACGACCGACGCTGAATTCCTGAGCCGAGTGAGAAGAAAAATTTCGTTTTTGTACACAGTAATTACCGACTCGTCTGCACCGGACAAATTAACGCATTTCAACGCCAGGCATGTACGCCTCACGGGATCAAAAATCTGGTACACCTAATTAACGCAAACATCAGCAGTTACAGTCAAGATAAAGACATTCACACAAGCAAAAAATGGCACGATCTTCACAATCTCGTTCATAAGTTTAACATTTCGAAATAAGAAAACTAAATGCTTCAATACTCCGCATGAAACTGAAAATTGAAAACGCCTCGCCTGAAAAACAGTCACATAAGAATCTGACCTTTCAAAATAGAGATGAAAAATTATGTCCAAATCACAAAACCAATCAATGACACTAAAGCTAGAACATCATACATCAGTTATCTGACAAAAGGGAAGCGCGGGTTCTTTAATGCTCAGATCTCATAACCATGGGAGCATCCCGGAACCACGACGTCACACTTACAAGAAATTTTTCCAGTCAACTTCGTCAACTAGTAATACGTCAGCCGCCGTAGGACGCGCGTTATATTATCCGGAACTGCATACTGGTTGGCTCCCCTGCAAATTTAGCAGTGAATTCAAGCTATATCTGAAGCACGCGGCAGTGCAATACTTATTCAGACTGTCAGTCAGTTACGAAGATCTTTTATCCTTCGGTTGCGGAATCAGACAGTGTCTCAAAGGTAGCCGATCTTGTGCCCGCGCGTCTTCTTCAGCAGAAAATTGCCCGAGTCTGCAGGAGAATCTATTGAAATAATTGCTCAGGTTATTCTTGGCTATTCCGGGGGTCTTTGGCCGGCTGGTTGGAAAGTGGATGTTTCGCCTTCTTTTCTGTGAGCATGTGCGAAAAGTGTGTAAATCATCGCGATCAGGAGAAGCAGCGGCTGTAAACCAGGACTATCTCAGATATCCGTATTCTGGACTATGTTGAGACGCCTGAACCCAGCGATTCATTTCAGGAAACCCATTTCAGCCGCTTGTACCAGGTATCGAAGCTCTGCAGCAATGGCCTACGACTCACGACCGTAGGTCAGCATCGAAATCAAGATCCACTTGAACGTACAAAGCTTAGTCTTCAGAGTCAGCTGTGCTTTAGTCACAAGGGTTTGGTTAGTTCACACAGGACACCGCTGGTCACTCCAATTCGCCGATAGATTTCTTCCTCCCATTTTCCATCGCAAAGAAACATGAACCCAAGGAACATCAATCTCTCCATCTGTTCCAATGCTTCGCCGCTTATTTGCAGAACGAAAATGACAGTAGAACGACAAAGCACTAAGCTTTTCTTATTAGACATTCAAAAGCATGCCAGCCATGTCGCACTGGGCTGCGAACCTTTCCAGAGATCGCTGGAGACCAATAATGACAAAACAAGGTCGTCAGCAAACAGCAAGACTCTTGTCTCCATACCTCCTACGCTAACACACTCAGTGCCTTGGCTCCGCTTGACTATTTTACCTATGTAAAACACAAACACAGAGGACCGAACGCAGCCTTGGAAACGACTAGTGCCAACATTGAAAGATTTCACTTCGGCTTAATGTCATTTATTCTGACGCAGCACCTGCTATCAACATTCAGTGAATGGGTGGTTTGTTGCATCTTTGCTTGTTGCGCGCGATTCCATCCTAGGATATCTCGGTAACACGGCCTTTAATAAATTCAGAACACCAAAGCCAATATTAGAACAGGAATAAGAAGTTCGTTTCTGCCAGAAAATACTTACAAAGTGAACTTTCTTCTTTTGGAACAAGACAACGACTTTTTGTGAGACAATTTATGTGACGCCTAAAGCCACTGTCCTGTTCAAAAGACGTAAAGTTTAAATTTAGTTGGCATGTACTGAAAGCGAACTTCAGAAAATATTTACATCGTTTTAGGGCAAAATCATGAGTTCATTTTTAAGCACTCATCTACATATAATGTATGACAGATGACAGTTTCAATTAGAATATACTGTTTTGCGAATACCAGAAAAATCCATAGCAGTATGGGATTCATCGAGAATCCTATCAAGTTGTCAGATTATTGCAGAAAAGAATAAATCACAGGTCAGTGTCACAGACACATGTTGTAAACTGATCAGTATTGCAGTATTAAAGTTCAACTGATAGATACATATACCTGTTTTTCTGCTTCATTTACTACGAATGGACAGGGCTGTGCAAAACTATTTACGCGGCCGTCAAATAGACTGACTTTAAATGTCTCTAACTATGGAACCAAAAGATTTCGCATGGGACATTTAAATCTAACCTTACTGTTCCTGAAATTTTACTTCATGCAGCAACTGCTGACAGTTTCTGTGTGGCAGCATTATCAAATTTTCTCTTGAACCTATAACTCCACTTCTACATCAAAATGAACTGATGATTCAGATTACAGTCGCATAATAAACAAATTCACCACGTGGTCTCACCTGGCTAGATCCCCCTGTTCCAAGAAGGCTTAAAACTGTATATTTTTTGCTATTGATCATCACCGTGTCGTTTATAGAAAGTGCTTGCAGGGAGTTGCATGGCTGTTGCGCCTCCGAACAACTCAGGGGAGTGCAAGAAATTGGTAGCGAAGACATTACGCTTCTGATCGGTGGCATGCCGCTATGCGACATAGCGTTGGCCATCCTAAAAAAAGATTTAAATGAACAAATTACAATCAGTCAATTCAAACCAAAACAGTGCGTAGAGAAAATTGCATTAAATTTTGTTTTATACAACTATATTCGACGCAGCAAACCATGCACCACAGATGGATAACCATCGGCCCTAAATATAACAAAAGTATCGTGAAAGTGAAACGTCAGCTTTCCACTGTAAGGTTGTCAACTTCCTCTGCAGCTCCTTTACGAAAGCATTATCGCAGTTTTCCATATATTAAAACATGCTTGAGCAATAAAAAGCACAAACCTAAAGTCTACGCAAAAGACCAAAATCCTTGAAGAAATGTTTTCGATTTAGGTTCCTCAAACTCGCCGAAGTAGGCCGCAGAAAGAGACTTACACATGTCAATCACTGTTAACCTTAGAGTGGCAAATAACCTTCATCGTTCTGGGTCAGCTCATTCGTAGGGGAGTCAACGGAACAATTCTGAAAAACAGTCTTTCCACTACCAATAGTATCATATCATACTGACGAGATGGTTTATCAGTTTCCTGATTCAAAGTGTAATGCTGCTAATTTAGTACGTTTTGGGCAACGTCTCTGTCTTATGACTAGTATCGTGCTTTCTTTCAAAAATAGAATTACTGAGGCAGCTGGGAGGCTAACGATACCTAAAATATTGTAGTTTTTGGCGTCTGAATGTGATGGCTATTCTCCGGCAAAGCTGAATCTTTCCACTTTGATCTTTGTTCCCTCTCCATGAATGGTTTTAATGCAGTGCATAAAATCCACACTGAGGTTACTGGCTGGCTATCATGTACGTTTCCATTTTGCGTATATGGAAACAATCTCCAGTCATGGAGGTTAGCTGTGAAAAACAAGCTGTAGCGGCCAGGAAACGGTGTGACCACTAAAACGAGGAACAGGTTCGGGTTCCACAAGTTTGACTTCCCGATGAGAAAC